TGTTGCATTAAATAGTAAATCAGATCATGCTACTTTCCACCTCAGTTCCTCCAGGGCCTCCCCATCTCACCCAGGAACAACAAGTCCAAAGTCCTCACCATGCCCAATCCAGCCACTCCGGTGGTTCTGGCTATTTCCCCCACAGGATAACCATATTACTGTCTCCAGGCCTTTGAACTTACTCACTCTTCTTCCCAGAATGCTCTTCCCAAAGACAGTCACATGCAGTGTTCCTACACTTCATTCTGAGGTCTGCTCTAATGACACCCTCAGAGAGCCCGTCTTGAACACTCAATCTAAAAATAGTAGCCCTGTCACTCTAAAACCCTCCTTACTAATGTTTCATTTTTCTTCATAACATGTATCACCACTCTGTGTTATATTTATTTGTTTACTCTTGTTTTCCCTCTGATAAAAGGGACTTTGTCTTTTTCACTTGATAGGTCTGCAGAACCTATGATGATGCTTGGTTTGTTGGAGATGCTGCATAAATTATCTGGAGTCAATGAATGAAGGAGCAGACTTTCAAAAAGACCTGAGAGAGTAATCTTACTCCAATCCCCACTTTCTAGATATGGAAATGAGTGCCTGGAAGGCCCAAGTGATACATCCAAAGAAACCCAACAAGTGGCAGAGCTAAGACGTGAGATTCGTCTCCTCACTCCCAGGATGCCACCCGCTCTGAATTTCATCTCTTAGACTCTCCTTTTCTCACCACTGACACAGCCATTCTTTGGGTCTAGTCCTTGGTACGTCTTGCCCATTGCAACAGCCCCGTGGCTCTGCTTCTTACATATCTTACCCTCGCCCCAGCCCTTCCGCACGTCCTGAATGCCCAGACGAGAAGACTTTCACTTTCACATGTTACTCTGTGACAAACACTTATTGTAGCAGGTAATATGGAAAACCCTTTTTATTCTGGCTCGTTCTCCCTACCAGAGAGCTGTAATTTCCTTGAGGCACATACAGATACCTTATTAATCATCGCATTTTGCAATTTCTGGGTATATGGCATATATTCTTAAGAAACATTTATTGCACCGGCTACTCTACTTCATGGAATGTTCTCCAAGATTTGCTGCCTGGCTCACTCTTTTAATCCCAATCACCTCTTTGCTCAGGAAGGCCTGCCCTTTTAATTTAAAATGGTCAACCTCCCCCCTCTGTCATTCTGCTTTATTTTCCTCCAGAGTGCGTATCACTTTCTAATATAGTATCACTGCTTATTTACTCATGTCTCATTGTCAGATCAACCACTATCAAGGGCAAGGATTTCTTCTGTTTGCTTCACTGTTACATCTTCAGCACCCAGAATAGTCCCTGGCACACAGGACCTGCATAATAAATACTTAACTTGAAAATGAATTTACAAGTCTGTGCTTAAAGTAGTTCTGTTTAGGAACACATTGAGGAGGGATAATGGAATACGTCCAAATGATTACCAATGATGGCCGCGCCGCATGGAGACATCAGTGCATCATCATGATACGGTGAGCAGTGAGGGGAGGGTCACAGAGATTCTTAATAAAGACTCCTGATTCAGGGTATGTACTTAGTAATTGTTCTGGAAATAACTGTTGAAGAATGAGCCAGCTCCATAGCCCATCATGCACTAAGCACTGTGTGGGGTGCACACAAATGAATCCTTCTCCTTGACTGGAAGATACTTCAGCACTAGGTGGGGTGAAGGACCCATAGGAAGTGGTAGAAAAAGCACAATGACCTATAAAAGTTAATTTCCACACCAATTTCAGGGCTTTTGTCACTGAAAGCAGTACTAGGTCTTGTTGACTTATATGTAGTTAATTAAAAAAAAAAAAAGCATATGGTCTGGTGGAGAACACTGTAATTAATCCAATAGCTATGAATAAACAAAAAGATGGAGAATGTGCTCCAAGACCATCAAATGGGATGTGCAACAGTGAGAGGCAAGTCATTTTTTTGATGCTCCATGGAACCAAGAAATTACAGAAGTGAATGCAACACTGAATGATGTAGCCTAACTGAGAAAGAGATGCAAGGGCGGGAGGGACGGAAGGAAGTTAGTTCGTTAACATGACGGAATAGTTTGTTAGTTGATGTTTAATTAAAATATAATCATCCATGCACAAACAATGAATCATGGAACACTACATCAAAAAACTAATGATGTAATGTATGGTGATTAACATAAAAATAAAAAAATTAAAAAATATATAATCATCCATAGTTAATACATTATATAATTTGATATTCATTTTATTCTGAAAAAATTTCTTACATTGAGAAGACATTCAGGCCTGATAATTGAAAAAATTTTGAACATACTTCAACTTGGTTCTATATATTTAAGAAAAAAAAGTTCCCTTTAAATATCACTAACAGTATATTCTAAGGATTTCAAAAACACTTTTATCCAAGGATATATGGCAGTAAAGGAAGGTAAGATTTGAAAGCAGCTCTGTGCTTTTATGAGGGTCCAAATATAGGAAGGCCGAGAGTCCAGACATTGTGACTGAGCCTGTAACCCAGACGGGGTTTTCAGGGAGCCCCTGAAACAGTTCACCCTCCCAGCACACACACCAGCAAAGGCTCTTCCACTACTCCTAAGCCTCCATTTTACAGAAGCATTTGGCCCCAAGAAGAGATCTAAGGTTCCACAACCAACTCTGGTTTCTGCTCTAGTGAATCCCAGTGCTACCAAATCACACTACAGTACTTCGTATGTTTAATAGGATACGTCATACGTCATGTCCCATCATATAAAGGATGACATTTATGTATATATTCTTTTTGACATTATTATTATCTGCTGACTCATTTTCAATGTGACAAGAGCCTTGTCTTCTCAGGGATAAGGATTTTTTATTTTCTCCATACATTTGGGAGAGGGCTACTTAGAGGGGCCCAGTGCAATGCGCAAAGGGATAGAAACTAGTCCACAGAGAAAAGACTTCCCTCAGATGGGAGCATCATGGTAAGTAAACAGCTATCTGAGAATTGAGAAACTACAATTCCACTTTCCAGAAGGCCTTTGGATGTTGTCTCAGTAATGTCAATTTGCCACCAAGGGACTCTATACTCCTGGATACTCAAAACTTACACAATCACGCTGCAGCCAAACCACCTCTGTCTAATAACTGGGTCCCATTATAAACTCAATTTTCCTCCTCTTAGCATCAGTAAAAGGTTGGAAGTGTATCTGGATAAAGAAAGACAAATCTCATGGGTGGGGAATTTGGGGAGATGCCAGTCAAATAGGGTACAAGCCTTCAGTTAGAAGTTGAATAAGGTCTGGGAATCTAATGTACAGCATTGTGACTTTGTTGTTTTGTTTTCTTCGTATGACCAATCTAATGTACAACATTGTGACTACAATTAACACTATTGTGTTGTGTGCTTAAAATCTGCTAAGATAGTAAAATTTAAGCATTTTTACCACATGCAAAAGAAAGGTAACTCATATATGTATGTCAGGGGTGCCTGGGTGGCTCAGTTGGTTAAGCATCTGCCTTTGGCTCAGGTCATGATCCAGGGTCCTGGGCTCCCTGCTCAGTGAGGAGTCTGCTTCTCCCTCTCCCTCTGCCCCTACCCCCTCCACTTGTGCTCTCTTGCTCACGCTCTCTCTCTCAAATAAATAAAATCTTAAAAAAAATCATATACATATGTCACATCATCACACTTTAAATATATACAATTTTATTTGTCAATTATAATTTCAATAAGCCTGAAAAAAATTTTAAAATAAGAACAGAACAAAATCCTCACTACATAATTCATCTTCTAATTTCTATTTTCCTTACTCATGTCAATGAGAAAAAAATAAAGGTTTATAAAATTAAAAACCAGATCAATTTTGAAGTAGCTGCTTTTCCTTATTACTGTAAGAGAACTTCTTTGTGTATTTTGAGTCCCAAGGAACTAATGTGTGAAAGTATTTTTAAAGAAACAAGAAAAAACATTCTCAAGAAAGAAACAAACAAAAAAAAAACACCTGGGGTCCCATCTTCATCAGAAGACTAAAACATTATGGTAGTAATCTCCCATTTTTGATTAACTATTAACACTTCCATCCTTTTCTCTGATGTTATTTATTTGAGGATGGACAACAAATTTAAATCTCCCATTTTTGATTAACTATTAACACTTCCATCCTTTTCTCTGATGTTATTTATTTGAGGATGGACAACAAATTTTGAATAATGTTCTCTAAACAATAGCACATTTATATATTGACCTAATTCTGCTGACATTTCTTAGATTAATTAAAAATGGTTTCTAACCTAAAACATGTCCATCAAACTCTAAGTCAATAGTACTAAATAAAATGAAAAAAAAATGTAAGTCAAAATCTCCCTACATTTTTATTCTTTCATGGGCATCTATTCCTGAGAAAATATATTTGTCTTAAGTAGTTTGCATATATCCTAAGAGATGGCTGAGAAAAAGGACCACACATATGAAACAGCATCTCTACAGTGAATTGACCAGTGCTATAATATTAAAGTGCTGCCTCTGTTCAATTTTTCTGAAAAACACTGACCACTTGGTGAAACAGTGGCATTTGCCTATTGTACTTAGAGCCCTTTATTTATTCATTTATTTATTGGAATTTGACTGGGTTCTTGGTCATACGAAAAAAACAAAACAACAAAGGTAAGACTTTCATTTTTTCTATCCAAAAGAGAATATTCAAAATGCACTAATAGACTGATTGTGACCCTCTAATGAATTCCTTGAATCCTGACCTTACCTTTTTAAACAAATTTTAGACTAATTCTAGACTTGCAGAAAAGTTGCAAAGGTGACAATGAGAATTCCTTGTGAACCCTTTACCTAGCTTCTTGTAATGTTGACGAGTTATGTAATCATGGCACCTTTGTCAAAATTAAGAAATCAATTTGGGACAACATTATTAACTGAAACCAGATTTTATTCTGATTTCACCAGTTTTTCAATTTATGTCCTTTTTCTGTTCTGGGACCCAATTCAGGATCCCATGTTGAATTGGGAAGCCTTACCTTTTGATCTGTTTCTTCATCTTCATCTTGATAATCATCGTAGAGTGGGCTGGCATTGGCTGCAAAGGTGGGCCCCTGGGAGTAGTATTGAGAACTTCGGTAGCCATCCCGCCTCAGTTTGTCACATTCTACAGAGGATACAGGCCAGGGAGGGGAGAAAGGACATTAAAAACCTGGATTTGTTTACTCCTCTTTCTTTACCTCTTCTAGTAATATTTGCCTAGGTATTAAGATTTCAAAGAAATACTATTAATAATAAAAATGATGATAAAAACAACTAAGAGGGCCGCCTGGGTGGCTCAGTCAGTTTAAGCATCCAACTCTTGATTTTGGCTCAGGTCATGATCTTAGGGTGGTGAGACAGAGCCCCACATTGGGCTCCACGCTCAGCATGAAGTCAGCTTGAGATTCTTTCTCTTCCTCTCCCTCTGCTCCTCCCTCACTTGTGCGCTCTCTAACATACATACATACATACATACACAAAATTAAAAAAGAAAAAAAACAAAGAATTACTAACACACTGATTACACATTATATACCCTCTTCATCTATTTTAACAGGATTTCCTTTAGACTTCACAACAGCCCTCTGAGTCAGGTTTAAGGTAATTAAATTATTTGCTCAGTAATGTTATGCAGATAAGCAATGGACTCAGAATTTATACCCAGGGTCTTAATTAGTATAATTTTTGATATACAGCAAATATATAACTCCTCATCAAAAAATACAAGCAATTCTCATGCTATGCTTCTTTCCTAGACTCATCAGCTGGAAGTGACATGAGAAATCATGGATAACAATGCCCTCATTTTATTTTTAGTTCTCAACTTAACTTTGATGCCAAACAGGCTATAATCATTGAGCGTAATTTAATATGAGGCCAGGTGGCAGTCTGAGATGTCTGCCAGTCTACAGAGAAATGCCTAGCACCAGAAGGTGGAAGGAAACTAAGAGGAAGGTGCTTGCTTCCCAGAGGGGCTGGGGCCACTGGCTGCTCAGAGACTAGTGACTCTCTTCGAGGAGGAACCATTGTGCTAATTACTCGGATCAGTGGGGGCAAGTGCAGCAAGAAAAGTCTTGATGGCTTTTTAAAGCCCCAGGAGATTTCCTATTACCCAGACAGCACCTTCGAGAAGCATTTGCCTTGCAAAAGGGTTCACTCACCACAGGGTACCTTTAAATATCCAGCTTGCTAAAGGAGTATGAAATGTGTTTGGTTTTGGAAGAGTTTACTTTTTGCCCAGCTTGAAAAAACCATGCACCTAATGGCACAGAACTAAAGTAGGGCATCTTCAGAGTGCCTTTGTAACACTAGGATCTATGAATCTCCCTCAGAGAGGAGATGAACTGTCGCTTAAGTGAAAGGATAAAAATTCTCCAACGGGGGGGGGGGGGGGGGATCCTTACTCTCCTTTGCTACCTCACAGTGGGAGTGAGTAGAGAGTTTCCCATCCAGAACTGCAAACCAGATTTTTTAAAAACCACAGGAAATAGTCATGAGAATCTTTCAGAATGCCAAACTAACTTTAAAAATGCATTGCATAATCACAAGACAGCTAATTACTATTACTTCAGTTACTTAGGGGCTAACTAATTTGTGGGCTCGTCTGTCAACCACTATTAATATTGAGTAAAATGGAAAGATTTTTTTTTTTAATTCTGAAATTTCCAGAACACAGCTCATTTTTTTAACACAGTTTATTTTTTAATGAGGATTTACTCATAATAATATAACCCTTTCCAGTGAGAAATATCTTCCCATTTCTCCAATATTTATGATTTCTCTAAAAATTTTAAATAAAACAATTATACTCTCCTACAGAGAGAATATTACATAAAGCATAATTAGTAGTTTTCTGTGAAAAGTTTTGGGATTCTGTAAGTATCTGATTTTATTTTAATTACCTTAAAGTTAGGATGAAAAAAATACTCACTTTACATCTCATTAAATGTAATTTGGTGTTGCAAATTAACTTTTCTGTGGTCCTATAAACTGTAGTCTCCTAAGGACTCAGGGTGAATCCTGTATAACAAACCAATAAAAACTGTTACCACTTTAACAGGAACATACCTCAACATAATATAGGCCATATGTGAAAAACCCACAGTTAACATCACACTCAATGGTGAAAAACTGACAGTTTTTCCTCTAAGGTCAGGAACAAGAGAAGAATGTCCACTTTTATTCAACATGGTACTGGAAGTCCTTGCCACAGCAATCAGATAAGAAAAAGAAATAAAAAGCATCCAAAATGGTGAAGAAGAAGTGAAACTTTCCCTGTTTGCAGAAAACATGGTACTATATATAGAAAGCCCTAAATACTACACCAAAAAAACTACTAGAACTGATAAATGAATTAAGTCACAGGATACAAAATTAATAATCAGAAATCTGTTACAACATTCTACACACTAATGAGGAAGTAGCAGAAAGAGAAATTAAGAAAATCCGATTTACAATGCACCAAAAAAGAATAAAATACCTAGGAATAAACTTAATCAAGTTCATGAAAGACCTGTATTCTGAAAACAATAATACACTGATAAGAGAGTGAAGAGGACACAAACAAATGGGAAGATATTCCATGCTCATGAATTGGGAGAACCAATATTGTTTAAAAAAAAAAAAAGTCTACTACTACCCAAAGTAACCTACAGATTTAATTCATTCCCTTTCAAAATACCAATAGCATTTTTCACAGAACAAATAATCCTAAAATTTGCATGGAACTACAAAAGACCCCCAAAGAGCCAAAGCAATCTTGAAAAAGAAGAACAAAACTGGAAGTATCACAATCCCAGATTTCAAGATATACGACAAAGCTATAGTAATCAAAACAGTATGGTACTGGCACAAAAGTACATATAGATCAATGGAACAGGATAAACAGTACAGAAATAAACCCATACTTTTATGGTCAGTTAATCCTTGACAAAGGAGGCAAGAATATACAATGGGAAAAAGACAGTCTCTTTAACAAATGGTGCTGGGAAAACTGGACAGCTAACGTGCGAAAGAATGAAATGGGACCACTTTCTTACACCACATGCAAAAATAAACTCAAAATGGATTAAAGACCTAACTGTGAGACCTGAAATCATAAAACTCCTAGAAGAAAACTGTGGCAGCAATTTCTTTGACATTGGCCGTAAAAACATTTTTCTAGATATGTCTCCTCTGGCAAGGGAAAAAATGCAAAATTAAACTTTTGGGAGTACATCAAAATAAAAAGCTTTTGCACAGTGAAGGAAATCATCAACAAAACAAAAAGGCAACCTACTGAATGGGAGATGTTTGTAAATGATAACACTGGTAAGTGGTTAATATCCAAAATATATAAAGAACTTATACAATTCAAAAGAAACCCCCAAATATTATCCAATTAAAAATGGGCAGAGGACATATACAGACATTTTTCCAAAGACGACATAGATGGACAGACACAGGGAAAGATGCTCAACATCACTCACCATCAAGGAAATGCAAATCAAAATTACAATGAGATATTACTTCACACCTGTCAGAATGGCTAAAATCAGAACTCAAGAAACAATGAGTGTTGGTGAGGACATGCAGAAAAAGGAACCTGCATGCACTGCTGGTGGGAATGCAAACTGCAAAATGCAAACTGGTGCAGCCACTGTAGAAAACAGCCCCTATATGTGGAATTTAAGAAACAAAACAAATGGGGGTGCCTGGGTAGCTTAGTCATTAAGTGTCTGCCTTCGACTCGGGTCATGATCCTGGGGTCCTGGAATCGAGCCCCACATTGGCCTCCTTGCCCCTCTCCCACTCCCCCTGCTATGTTCCTTCTCTCGCTGTCTCTCTCTCTGTCAAATAAATAAATAAAATCTTTAAAAAAAAAAAAAAGAAAAGAAATAATTGAACAAAGAATCAAAGAGAAAAACAAAAAAACAGACTTAAACATAGAGAACAAACTGGTAGTTGCCAGAGGGGAGTTGGGTTGGGATGGGTAAAACAGATGAAGGAATTAAGAGTACATCTATTGTGATGAGCACTGAAGTAATGTATAGAATTGCTGAATCATTATATTGTACACTTAAAACTAATACAACACTGTATTTTAATTATACTTGAAATAAAAAATAAAAAATGAAATGCAGTCAGCCACACATTCACACAGAAACAAAAACTGTTAGCACTTGTAGCTACTTAATAATTCACTGTTTTCAAATACTTGACAAACAAAACAAAATACAAAGTGAAGGCCCCTTTTATTTACTTTTTAATTTTTTTTCAAATATTTTATTTTTAAGTAATCTCTATACCTAATGTAGGGATCGAACTCAACAATTCCTAGATCAAGAATTACACACACACACTCTACCCACTGAGCCAGCCAGGCCCCTCAAGCCAAGGCCCTTGTAAACTAAGTCAAATTGGTCTTTATCCCTGATTAATGGACACTATAAGAAGAATAAGTTTAAAGTGACAACATTTTATAATACTGAAAATCTTTTTACATACTGGGAGCAGTTACCATGTGAGGTTGTGTTTTGAAAGGATTCCTTGCTAGAAAATAAGGAGGGGCTGCTGGGCTGGATCATCTCTCAAAGTGATATTAGTTCTGATGTTTTTGGCAATATTAAAAACAGCTAAAATGACTTGACACATGTTAAGTCTTAAAAGACCAAAATGTTGCAAAATTATTATCCATAAAACTATGAAAAATCTGGCAATTATCAGTACTTCTACCATCACCTTTTGAGTCTAGTTTAAAAGACAATACCTCTTTTTTCCACAATGAAGCTTGATCACGGGAATGTTTAAATAGTCCATGAAATAAGATGCTGGGTCTAAGGTGAAAGTAGGCAGCATACATTTATGGCGGACGACCATTTTCTGAAATCTAGTACAGTCATCAAATTCCATTGTCTCTTATCTTATTCCAACTCTAGGGAAAATCTAGGAAAATCTCCTTTTGTCAAGTTCCAACAGCTCTCAGTTTCTAAAACCATGGCTTTGTTCATTAAACGGAGTTTGTCTGAAGAGTGAGATATAAGAAGGTGCAAGCCATCACGAATAAACAGACTTTTCCAACACTCCACTGAGAGTAACTGTAAGGCAAAGCATAATTTAAAGCCAGTTATGGCAGCAGCTACAGGC